CTAAAATTTATTTTTTGTTGAGTATACTTAAGGAGATAAATTTTAGAGGCATGTTAAGTTATCACATAAGATGTGAGAAGATAAAGAGTTGTCAGCTTAATGATCTGGAAGTTGTAATTGATAATATTATCTACCCAAATATTATATTAAGACTTGTTGAGTATACTTAAGATCTTAATATAACAGATGGGATCCCAATCCACTAGGAGTCAAGTATGAACTCTATAAATTTATGTGAGAAGGTCATAAATTCGAGTTAAATAGTGGAAGCATAATTAATTTAATAAAAATTCGTGTTAAATTAATTGATGTATTTTATGTAGTATTTTTTTTTGTTTTTGTCATTTATACTTACTGAATCGTGAGTAACTATGTGTATTTAGGTGGCATACTGGATGCCAACAATCAAATCAAATCAAATATTTTTTATTGACACCACAGTTTGAGAATTGTTCTCATGCATGAGAAAACTGGTTACGTCCTTGAGTAGCCCTTTCCAGAGACACTTACTGATGACTCGATTAAGGAAGAGGTGGCTACTGTAATAAACACAGCGACGATGATAGTATTGCACATATGTGATGCTTATAACTATGTCACCTGAGTTACAAAAGCAACTTGAAAGTATAGATGCTAACCATGATTTTTCATTTCAAATAGTTGTATGATAATAATCATGTGTGGAAAGATATGAGACTTTCAAGCAATTATAACAATGCGAAATGACTTAGGAATCTTCAATCAGTGCTCAGGTACTATAAATGATTGACATTGAGAAGTGTCTCAATTGAATTCAAACATGAACTACGAACTAAGTATTGACTTAGCTCTACAATCCTTGTCAGAGAGCTATTCATGCTAGTTATGAATTATGATATGAATAAACTCGAATGCACACTCATTAAGTTGCTTAACCTGCTTAAGACTGTTATGCCCAATATCAAAGTTACAAGTGGGCAAGCGATTGATTCCTCTAAGGATATTAAGAGAAAGTCTAAAGGGGCTTTAGGAAAGCATCCAATATGGTTAAGACTGTCAAAGCGAAGGACAATACCGAATTTAATGACCCTTGGTTTCATTATAGAATGAAAAGGTCATTGAAAAAATACTGCAAGGCTTACGTCTACTTCAAAAGCTTCTTAGGTATTTGATATCAGACGTGGATATCATATTTATATAAATATGGAGAAACTAGATAGAAGTAGATCACTGTAAAAGGGAGAAGTTGACCTACACGTTGAAGATGAGCAAAGGTTGCTGCATTGTTTGTAGGAATATACTTTTTGCCATTGCCTTTTAGTTTAGAATTGGAATTAGAGAAATATCGCTTTGTACCCACCATAGCTAGAACATTAAAATGAATTTCATATTCGGACATGATTATTTTAATGTTAAGGACAATTGTTGTTCTTATTTATCTTGATGAAGATCCTATTGGTTATGATAAATTACAAAATGACGTTTATATTTTTAATACTAAGGATTCTAAATGAGTATAGAAATTATAAGGCATAAACGCGATAATCTAATTATTACCTAAATCTGACATGGCAGACTTTGTTATGTAGATGAAATGCAATATTACATAGAGATGTGTATGTGGAGTCAATTAATTTTGAATCATTTGACAAGTGCATATCATGCATATTAGACACAATGACTAAATCTCCTTTATTTTGAAAAGGAGAAATGTCTGCATAAATATTTGCATAATACATAATAATGTATATGAACCTATGTCACTTAATGTCAGATGAGGTTTTTCTTATGTCATCAATTATCATGTATACTTGATGAAATTTAAGCATGAAGTTCTTAAAAGGTTTAAAGGATTCAAGCTAAAAGTAGAGAAACAAATAGGAGAAGATACCCTCACATTAAGATCCCGATCGAAGTGAGAGTATCTTAAAGATAAAATTTAGATTATCTAAGAGAGAATGAGATTCTCTTACAGTGGACTCCTCCATATACACTGCAGCATAGTTGTGTATCTAAAAGGAGGAATCGTTAACTGTTAGATATAGTGTGATTAATAACAAGCCATACAAATCTCCTAAAATCATTTTGGGGTCATACACTAATTACAGTGTGCAACATACTAAATCATGTCACAGCTAAGTTGATTAACAGAACTCCATACGAGTTATAGAAATGTAATAATTCCAATTTATCTCATATGAAAGTTAGGGGTCATGACGATTATTTGAAGCGCCTTAAATCGTAAAAGTTTGAGACTAAATCCGATAAATACATATTTGTGGATATTCAAAGCTGATATTTGAATATAAATTCCATTATCGTGAAGAAAGACTTCATCTCACGATATATCGTCCTCTTAGAGAAAATGTTAACTCTAGGGGAGGACAATGGGAGCAAAATAGACTATGAAAGAGTTCAAGAGTCCACAGATATAGTTAACCAAGTAGATGAGTCCGGGTTTGATTCCATATCTGATATGGGACATACTCTTGATCAGGAAGTAGAGACTCCCGAGGATATGACATCTTCATTTAAATCTAGTAAGATTATTCAACCTTGAAGAAGGTGCGAATCCACGATTACTAATCAATTATTATTAATCCAGGATGATGAACCTACTAATTGCATAAAAATAAAGTCAAGTGTTGACTTAAAAGAGATAGGAAGAGGTCATGAAACTCGAGATGAATTCGACGCATGTGAACAAGATTTGGACTTTGGTCAACCGTCCTAATTGGATAAAACCCATAGGTTTAAATGGTTTACACTAAAAGGTTGACACGGATATGAATATTCATACATACAAAGTAAGGCTAGTAGCAAAATGTTAAGTGTTGACCTTGACAAAACATTTTGCCTGTAGTCATACTAAAGTTCATTCGAATTTTGGTTGCAATAGTTACATATCATGATTATGGGTTAAAGTAAACCTCTTGGAGTTGAAATCTTCGATTTGATGAAAAGTCAAAATATTTGATTTTATCAAATTTGAAGACGAATTGTATGTTTACAAGAAAATAATGGGAGAATTATTGTATTCCTAATATGATGGGAAATGACATCCCTATATTTTAATCGTTAAAATAATAGTTGTAAGGATTTATTCATGAACAATATGGGGAAACAACTTGATTTATAGAGATAGATTTAGAATATTGCTTAATCGATCCCAATCTATATAGATAAAATTTTGAGAAGATTTTCCATGGAGAAATTAGTTTACTTTTAAATGGTGTGTTAGAAAGGTTCCAAATATGAAATAATTGTTGATTCAAACCTAATACATATTGCTTCAGAAGCAGCAAAGAGTTGCAATATGGATCAAGATGTTCATTTATGAACTTGGAGTAGTTCCTAATATTGTTGATCACATGCCATTGTATTGTGATAACAATAGAGTCATCACGAAAATGAAGGAACTAAGGTCTCATCAATGATCCAAACATGTATTAAGGTGGTATAATCTCATTAGAGAGATAATATATAGAAGTGACGTAAAGAGAAGAACGAATTCCCACATTTGACTATATTGCAGATCCGTTGACAAAGAGTTGGCGTAGCATAAACATGATCTCATGTAGACTCTTATGATATAAGATATATACTTTTATGATATAAGATACATAAGAGACTGGATCTTTTATGATATAAGATACATAAGAGACTGGATCTAGTGTAAGTGAGAGTTTGTAAGTATTATGCCTAGGTCCAACTAACTTTGGACATAAATATTTTTAATATATAATTAATGCGATTTAATGACAGATCTATTATTTAATTAATAGACAATAAAATTAAATAATAAAGTCCGAATATTCAAGTTTAAGTGATTTGTTAATAACAAGGAATTGTGATTGTGATATACAAATTACATATGATTAGATCTTGAATAATCCATGGTCGTGAGTAATAACGAGATACGAATATCGTTATTACGGATAGACCATCATGTGTGACATTTCTTAAGTAAGTAGCGGATCTCACGAGTTAAAATGTGGTGATACTTAAATAAACGCATGTATATTTTGTTATAGAAAGAAACATTGAAGACCCGCTAAGAGATTCCACATAATAACCATCTGAGTGTTAGTGGTTAATCTCTAACGTTCGATAGTGAAATTGGTCATTTGACTTGAGGTCGTCATAGTGCCTTATATGAGGGAAGTCATGCTTTAACGGTGTTGGATATTGCTTTGCCAAGGGCCTCTAATACGGTATCATTCGAGTATGTCAAAAATCATACAAAGGTTGTGAATGACCAATAGAGGATTCGTCACTCTTAGATAATAAGAGATTGTGATCTGCATTTCGTTCAATTAAATCAATAACGAAATCCTTAGCCAATGTATACTCATAAACGAAAAGGAGTTTTCGACTCACGTTAACTTAATAATAGAATGAAAGATATAATCGATAATCGAGATTGACACACTTCCATATCTCATAATCGATCGGATCATATTGACGAAGGGATTATAGTTTCACGGTAAACGAACGAGTTTGATTTTGTCATACCACGTGACATTTTCTGTCATATGTATTGTCTTGACACATTTCTAGATGTCAATCTGGGAATAAATTAAAAGAATTTTTTAATTTATCAATTTTGATTAGATTAAAATAATATTTCACGTCGTTGGGCATCGTGATCGAGAACCTGATGGGTTGCACACAAAATGAGAACTAGAAGATTGTGATTTGTCAATTAATTAATTTAACATTAACAAGCATTTGATAAATTAATTAATTGAGTTGTTTATTTATATGCCTAAATTAATTAATTGGATTAATTAATTCACGGACCGAATTTAATTAAATGTATTAATTAAATATTGAACAGGATTAGGCCAAGCCCATTTGGGCTTATATATAAATATGACTAGGTTTTTAAAAACTGTAGAAATTTTTCATTATTCTTGCTAGCACAAGAAAAATTCTAATACTACAATCTTGTTCTCTGTGTGGATCACCGTTGGAGGCTGGACAATTGGACAGCTATGGGTGGCGAATCAAGGTTGCTGGAACAAAGAAAAAGCAAAGGGGTTTGCAGATCTAGAAAAATGTATGACTTTTATCACAATTTCTATCTAAACACAAATATGAATCCCGACGGGAATCGAAAATTATTTTAATTTTCCACTGTGCATATTAAGTAGATTCCCAACATATATTACCTACAGATTACAAGATAAAAGCAGGAGTGACTTGAACTAAGATGGAAGGAAAACAAAGTAAGCACTCTACTCAGTAGAAGTTAATACCAAATTCTTGGCCCTGGGGCATAATCCAGTGGTGCAAAGGATAGGAGTGAGGTTATCTCACGCCTTGCTGACAGCCATAGTGTGGGGGTTCGATTCCTGAGATATGAAATTAAACTCCTTGTAGGTATAGTATACAGACAGCTCTTGTTCTCTGGTCTGTTGGGGTACATTCTGCGATTTACCTCCCTCACAAAGTTCTAGGGACGGGACGGTGGGGGTCCTCAAGATTGGGGTTTAACCTTTTTTTTAATACCAAATTCTTTCAAACCTCGTATTTGAGGAAAGGCGATAAGAGAGAGAGAGAGATTGTTTTAACGGGAAAAAAATATCAAACATAAAAATAAATAAATAGGTTTTCAACAACTTCTAAAAAAGGTTAAATCCTAACCTTAAGGGTCCCCCACCACCCCTGCCCTGGAGCATCGTGAGGGAAGTAAATCGCAGGTTATGCCTCCAAGGGTACAGGGTGGAAGGCTGCTTGTACACTTGCACTTACCCAAGAGTCAAATCCATATTTCAGGATTCGAACCCTTGACGCAGCAGTCTCAAGTAAAACTGGATTTCTCCACCCTCCTCTTTTACCACTTGGAGATGTACCCTGGGGCGGTTTTCAACAACTTCTAACTCCTATCATTGGAGATGTCTATTGATGTTACATAGCTTCGTTGCTTAAAAACTCAGGAAATCAAATATCCCAATTCCTTGTTGCCTTCACTAGAATCATTAAAATCTTACCTGTGACCTGAATTTTGTCTCCGGGCTTTGAATCACATAAATAGTTGCTGCATGCTCCTTTCTTTGAGGGTTCTTCTTTTCCTGTCTCAGGATCATAATAGACAACGCGTCCAACACACAAACTTGCAGTCTTACCATCAAAATAATCGCCATACCTGGAAGATGCAATTGCATAGTGACGAACATTCTGGGGACTGCCAGGCATTTTAGGGTTCTCACCCTGAAATGAAATAGATGAAATAAATTAGGGCAGCGAAGTGGGGGGAACATACGATAATGTTCCATCATATTCTAGCTTAAATTAACCCAAAGAGATTCTCTAAGTAATAGGTTGATGAAACTTCACAGAACTTTTTGTGATTAAGGTCGAAACAGATGGAGATTCTTTGAACTTACAGGAGGAATGATCCCATAACTTTGTCCTTCCCAATGAGGAAGGTTGCCACCATGATCGATGACAATATGACATGCTTCTGTAGGAGCCGTTGGACCAACAATCGTTTCAACTGAGACAATGGTTGCTGTATATGGTTCATTGCTTTTGTATAAATGTAGTGGAGGCTCTTTTGCATCCTCTAGCGTTAAGGGTGAAACTGTAACCTTGGGTTTTCTGGGTTGCTGCACTGACATGCAAACCACAAATCGACTTCTTGATCGAGCATTTTCACTCTTCAAGTTAACAGCAGGTATACCAGAAGTCCATGATTTATCATGACAAGTCTGCAATAAAATGAGATTCCATTAGTGTTCAGAACTATAGTTTTCTCATCTTTGCAGGTCCCTTATTGCAATGAGCAGTAAAAACCAAATAACATAATTTCTTCGCAATATGTTAAAAGAACTTAAAAAGCACGTCCCTAGCACTAAGCATAAAACATCAAAACTTACAGATACTGAAATTCACCATCAGAGATAGAAACTCAAATTAAACAATGAAAGATCTATTGGCCATCTAAACATGACGAGCTTCACTGAAAACCAGGGAGAAAGCTGGACAGGATGCAATAATAATGAAGATGCAAAAGAAGATCCAAGTTATGTTTCAGAAAAGGAGAGGAAAGAGATAATGAGGTTTAAAAGAATCCAGTATCTATAATCATTTTGATTGTTTCGTCTTCTTACATCAAGGCTTATTCAGCGTCAGCTAGCTACAAGCTTTAGATTACAAGGTACTACATCAATATTGTATCAATTGTACCTCAATGTCAGATCACATCTGAATCAGTTACGCAACAAAAGCTACGAAATTTAGCATGCAGAATATTTTAAATTCAACAATAATTAAAGACTAAATAACAACCTTAAGCACGGATATCCTGAAGGATGAATCACTACTGATAGGGACCCCAACTGGGACCTGCAACAAAATCCAATTTTTTGTAATAAAAAAGAAACAAACATAAATTTAACATATAATGATTAAATTGACCTGAGAGAATATGCAGTGAGCCATGATCGGATCAAATATAGCTTCAAACTATACAATGGTAAGTATGTGTGAATAAATTTAATCTGGAAAAGCAAAAGACTGGAGAGAAGTGATTGGAGTTTATATAGCTGCCATTAAAGCTAATTCTTTAAAAAATCATTTTTTTTTTCATTTTTAATCACACGTTGTTTTAATAAAATATTTTTACAAGGAAACTCAATTTTATTTTATTTTTTCAATTTTTTAATCACACGTTCTCCAAAATTTACTATTACAAAAACTATTTTTCCAATAAATCAAGCTTAAACAAACCCAAATAGTAGTTGGCCCCTGTTTGGTGAGGATTAAAATCAGATATTTAGTAGATTTTGATAAATGTTGATGAAATATATGATTGAAAAGTTGTGAATCTCATAAAATATATGGTTAAAATTAATCATTGACTTTGACTTAGATTAAAATCTAAATTTTAATCTGTACCAAACAGTCTCTTATAAACATGAGCTAATGATCCTGTGGGCAATTGCAAAGGAAGAGTTCTTGGCTCTTCACCTCTCTATATATGTGGAAGGAGTTAATTAAACTAGTGATTTTATTGGATTATCAATTGGTACTAAAAATAAAAGGTTATCGGTTGTTCACTCAATTATTCTTAGAGTTAATCATTCATCATCCGGCTCATTTCTGTCTGTCCAACTAGGCATAAATTAATTTTCACATAGTAGATAAAAATGGATGCGGCACGCAGACAGTGTTAATGGAGGAAACAATCGATAAAAATCCAACTACGATGATGACAACTTTGGTTCAAGTCCAAAGTCGTAAAAACATCCTCCAATGCCAAGTTATCCTTAAAGTGAAACGAACCTAAGATTCCTCCCTAAAAACAACAATTAAATTGAACTCCACGAAAGAACTAGATTCGTGTCTTGATTTTGAGTAACAAGGGTGACCCACAAGGTCCAAAAATAAAAATCAAAGTAACTGTTGAAAAAGCTAGCAGTATTTGAGACCATATGCATTTTTTATCAATCATGTTACACATACATTTTTGTTGACATCAAATTTGACACACTTATGAGGTGGCAGCTTTTTATGCACTAATTTTAAAAACACTTCAGACAGCCATGTTGGGTCTTTTGATACCCAATAATCCGGGCGATGATTTAAAACAGTTATCGAATTATTTATCGACACCATGGACTTGGCTCGACTCGGAGACGAACTACACTTTTTGGATGGCTCGGGTTTGGGTTGAATGATTATTTGGTTAGTTAGACCATTTAGTGATTAATATGGAGTTGGAAATTGGCCCATTAGTTTAGGTTATATGGCAGTCCACTTAGAGATCTCTTGGCCCATATTTGGTGACCTATACTAACCTATATATATGTATCTATCTCCCAGCCGTTTTGGTGTGTGTGTGTTGTAGCAAAGGAGAGGAGAGTTGAGAGAAGAGAGGCAGTCGAGAGAGAGGAAAGCCATGCGAGGTTGTGAGTGAGATTCAACCATTGTGATATCTTCTTCTTCCTCTCCATACCTTTGTGGATTACTAACACCACCACCCTTCTCCTTTGTGGGGTTAGAGAGAAAGAGAGCAGTCCAAAGTGAAAGCGAAAGTCTCGGGTCGAGTCGAGGTAAATCGGTGTACGTTTGATTGTTTTCTGAACCCGGAATCAAGATTTATCAAGTGATTTCCGCTACAAATGGTATCAGAGCTTGTGTTGTTGATAAATCTATGATTTTTGGGGCTAAAAACAGGCTTGAAGTGGTCAGAAACGGATCTGAAAATCAGAGGCAGAAACTGTCCAGTTTTTCAATTTTCTGGTGAAACCAAATTTTTTTTGGAGAAACGGACACCACAATTGGACTGTGCCGTTCAGAAAGGTTGGCGTGTCGCTGGCGCATGGGATTGCCGATGTGGCGGGTGAGGGCACGTGGGTCTCAATCCGGCGATGTTGTCTTCAGACAAAATGATGTTGGAGATGAGATGGACCCTGCGGTATTGTCCGATTTCAGTTTGGAGCAATACAGTGAAAGCTGGACGATTTTGCCCTTGGACGTTCAGGTGTCGAGTGTTGTTTTCGTGTTGCTGTGGTTGCTGTTGATTTTAGGATGAATAGTGAATTCCTAAAGTGGTGAATTCGCATGTCTCGATATTTACGGACCTTCAGACGTGGTCCGCTCGGTATCGTATTCTTTGCTTTTCATTATTCTAGTTAAAATAAATGTATAGGTTAATTATTTATTTTTCGCGTTAGAAGTCATTGTGTGATGTGACGTTAGGTTTGGGGTTACCGTGAAGGGGGTAATCATTGCCTGTTGTTAGACCTAGGAATTACATGTTAATTAATTGCCTTAAATTTTATGTAAATTTGTCACCAATTTTTCTACACTGATAGAATTACATGTGACCTTAGAAAAATTTACTTGACTGTCCTGTGTGAATTATGTGTTAGTACTTTGCTTGTGATCATTATTTGGTATTATTGGCATATATAGGTCTAAGGCAAGTGCGAAAAATAAAATATATTTTAATTATGGTAAATTTTGGGTATAGTTGAAAGAGATTGTCCCAGGATGATAATAAAAGGAAAGATGAGGATAGAGACGATGTGAATGTGACTTTAGAGTCGAGTAGTGAACATAGTGATGTTTATTGAGAGAATAAACCTGGTTCTTGCATTGCATCTATATGTAATCCTTTCTGCATATATGTGGCCACTTAATTCTGTTGCAACGTTGGTATGTTACACTTTCAATATATTTGATGTGTGTAATTGCATGAATTAGAGTGACTTATTACTTTGTGTAATACATGTACATGCATAGTGGGTTAAGTTTTGTGGCGTACTCTATTTGCTCTAAGAGTGGTGTGAGAGTGTGGTAGCGAGAAGAAAGTTGGGCAGCCGTTTCTCTCCTTTGTCTTTGTGAGCCTATGTGGTTTGTGAGATTATGTGAGGCAGCCATGTTAGGGTTACCTTCTTTATCTTTGTGAGCTTCTTTTGTGAGTGTTGTGAAGTAATCGACTCTTTCTTCGATTTTTCTTTGTGAGTGTCACTTTCGCCGTTTTCTTTGTGGACTTTTGATTGGAGAACCTTTGTGGTCACCGAAAGGTGTTGTTTTGCCGCAGTGAGTTTGTAATGCATTAGCAGTGAGTTGGATGTCTTTTGTAAGGTAGAGTATAGATGCCTAGAGGTGCATTAGTGATATGCACGGGGGATGTAGAGTGTGACATTTGGATCACGAGTGGAAATGTGATCAAATGTGTAGAATCCTTTATCTATGAAAGAGATCCTGATCAGGTGGAGTGTGAGAGAAGTACTTCTATCACTTCTGTAAGATGGAGTCCCATTATCCACGTAGGTTGGGAGAAGTGATGTGGTGATAGAGGATTATCCGTGGACTTAGGATCTATTGTGACTTACCAGTTAGACATGAGTTAAGTGATATGTTTAATGAGTATGGTGGGCGATGAGAGAAGATATGTGTTCTTGAGGTGTGAGCAACACGGAATGGGATATGATAAGTGTGGTGAGATCTTTTCTTGGGGTCATTTATGCATTTGTTGCATATGTGTGTGACCGTATGTTGATTAACTACGTGTTAATTTGTGGTTCTGCGTGAACGTGATTTTGAAAAGATCTGTTTGTGTGTTATCCTATATACCTTCATCGTATGATTGTTTGTTCATTGAGAATACTTGTTTCTACTTGGGTGCTCTTAATCTTAGCCCTGGTGAGTACATGGAGCAAGTATGGTATGTGTTTCGGTTCGAAACACGAGGCAAGTCTGTGATTCCAATTTTATTGGATTACCTTGATTGTGCAAGTATAAACTATGTGTTTTGGTTGCTTGCAGATTATTGGGCATCAAGGTAGAGATTGTTGGGTTTTTTGATACCCAATAATCCGGGCGATGATTTAAAACAGTTGTCGGATTATTTATCGACACCATGGACTTGGCTCGGCTCGGAAATGAACTACACTTTTGGATTGCTCGGGTTTGGGTTGGATGATTATTTGGTTAGTTAGACCATTTAGTGATTAATATGGAGTTGGAAATTGACCCATTAGTTTAGGTTATATGATAGCCCACTTAGAGATCTCTTGGCCCATATTTGGTGACTTAAAGTAACATATATATATGTATCTATCTCCCAGCCGTTTTGACGTGTGTGTGTTGTAGTAATGGAGAGGAAAGAGGCAGCCGAGAGAGAGGGAAGCCATGTGAGGTTGTGAGTGAGATTCAACCGTTATGATATCTTATTCTTCCTCTCCATACCTTTGTGGATTGCTAACACCACCACCCTTCTCCTTTATGGGGTTAGAGAGAAAGAGAGCAGTCCAAAGTGAAAGCGAAAGTCTCGGGTCTAGTCGAGGTAAATCGATGTTCGTTTGATTGTTTTCTGAGCCTGGAATCAAGATTTATCGAGAGATTTCGGCTACAAACCAATGTTACATATTTTGACACATAGGAAAATGTCAAGGACTTGTGTAGAACTAGTTTAATCCTTTTTCATATACTTATGAGGTTTAAGATCCGGTATGGGTTATGTGCTTTCTTATATTGAGTTTGACACAAACACATCTCTTACGCTAATTCCTTATAATTTTATGTTTGATGTCCTTGAATAACTACTATTTAAATGTTCAACGTGTCATAAATACTTATGTTTAAATTATTTATTATAATCAGTGGTAGAAATGGATCAAGACTACTCGTTGGCCGTGAGTGAATAGATCCTAGAGCAATGTAAGGTGGTCGGCCTTCTACTTTCACAGCCCGACTTGACTTGGACAAGAGTTAAAAACTTGTTGGCCCCTCATCCCGTACTTAGGGTCACATATAGGACTACATTGACATTATAAAAGAGTTTTGCTATGTATACATCTGGGTGTCAACCTCAGATGACTTCTACACTCAGAGGGAAGAGACTATCTACACGCAAGTCCCCCTCTTGTGAATGTTGTCATTTGGGATGTGAACCCCCAATGTACAAACAACAAAACCCTCATAAAATTCTTTTAGAAAAAGTAAAATAGCTATTTTTATAGGAAAAATATATATAATTACCAACCTAAAGATAAGTCACAATAACCTACAATTTATGACCACAATTACATACTAGTCACCATCATATAATGTCATTTTTACAAATCACAAATTTACAGGTGACAACTTATTTATTAATCACAAACCATCAAATTAATTGATCACGACTTATTTCTTCATAAAAATCACAAATTTTATAGATCAAATATTACCAAATTAATTGACTACAAGTTATTTATCAATCACAAATTAAAAATAAATAAATACAGAGCTAATGGCTGGCCCGTTAATTAAAGGGACTAAGGGCGGGGGGCCTCACTTCTGATAATAGGGGCGTCCTGATCCATGGGCCATACTGGGCTCAACTTTTCAATGGTCTGTCTGGCTCATGCCGCTGAGTCTCAATTGGACTTGTTGGAAATCTCTTTTGAACCAAAAGGGTTTGTATGATAAAGTTTCTGATAATTTTTATTGTGAATTTTGATAATTAAAAAAAAAAAAAAAAGATAAAATGTGTTTTTAAAAAAATTAATAAAACTTGTGTGTGCTATGATCTGTGTAGTTAAAACTAAGTTTAACCAATTAATAATTTTTTGTCAAACAAGGTGATTATAACAATTTTTTAGCATAATTATTAAAAATGTAAGAAAATCAAACATGATATTAACCAGTTTTAAGTTTCCATATAAAAACTATAAGAGGGTATTTGATTGTCGATATTTTTCACTCAAATTTCTATTTTTGTGCAATTTGATTAATACTTTTTTCATGAAAAATATTTTCCTACTTTTGTTCAGGTGATCATATTTTTCTTGAAAATAAAGAAAATATTTTCTTTAAATGGAATAGGTTTTTATTTTCCAAATAATTCAATTTTGTCTCTCTTTCTTTATCATCAACTCCCTCTCTCCCATCTACATATTAATAAAAAATAGATGAATATAATATTTTTCAAATTGAAACTAAAATCAATCAAACATATTTAATTAAAAATTTTCATGCAAATAATTTCTATGCAAAACTTCATTTTCTTTCTATATAAATTTAATATTTGTAGACAAACACATCCTATATTATTTACTAATCAATACATAGAGAGGCCCACATCCACTTGTGGCTGAGATTCTCTCTCCCTGTCTCTGATCTGTGATCTCAAAACGGGGACCACTCTCCCTCACCCACATATTCCAATTTCCCTAACCGGCACAACAATTTGATATCCTGCAGCGCGGATATAATGCAACCGCACAAGCTGCCTGATTTAAACCAATGAATCAGCGAATTTACTCCATTACATTTCACCAATTAAAGTGTTTAATTCATGAGAAATAAACTCATAAGCATAAGTAATATGATACATCAGTTGATTGATCAATCATTTAGGGTGTGTTTGATTACATTTATTTTTCATGAAAAATATCAGTTTTCCATCCAAATTTTTACTTGGAGTGTTTCACAAAATTGCAAAAAGTCCAAAAATTGTCAATATAATTGATATTTTTCTCTGGCTTGCTTTTACTATTTAGTCCCCGTATGATTTCCATTATTTGACTACAAAAATGAAAAATATAATTTTTATTTATCACATTATGTCATCATATTTGATTTTTTATTTTTTGTGTGGATTTCGTAACGACTATATTTCACACTCTCATTCTTATAAAAATGAAAATCAAATGGAAAAAGAAATAGAAATAAAATAGCTGAAAATGGTAAAGAAATATCCAATTTGACAATAAAATAGCTAAAAATGGTTTTAAAATCCAATATGTGTATCCACGTGGCAGTAGAAAGGGTAAACTGGTAAAATCGACTTCTATATTTCAGTTACTATTTTGGAGTGCATTCTTTTTCCTTTTCCCTCAGCCACAGGCCACAATCTTCCACCTACCCATTCTAGAGAGAGAGAGAGCTCAGAAGATCCTCGGCACTTTGAATTTTCTTTCCCAGGTAAAAATCTAACTCCTAATATCCGCGAACCTCGAGGTGCAGATCTTATTAAAAAATAAGGATATTTGAAAATTATGGTTAAGATTGCGTATTTTTTAAGTTTTTATTCAATTAAGTAATGCCGCTTTGATTTTTCAAAGTTTTTGACTTTTGGTTAAATTTGTGACCAGGAGTGTGTTAACGAAATTTAGGAGCTAAAATTAGTTGAATTTTCGATTTTTTTTAGCCGATTCGACTTGATTGAAATTCCGATTGAACTGACTGTTATTGATAAGTTTATTGAAAGTAAATCGCATTTAAGTTTCTTGTTTTTGATTGTAAATATTTTGATAACAGTGCTCGAAATGAGAGAGCGAACACAGTACGTCTATTGAGCCTGGGTTCTTCTCCAAATTTATTTTTGTGTACCTGAAATTATGTGTATATTCCCGTGTTTGTGTACGAACTAGTATTACAAATGCACTTTCTGGTCTCTGCATTTCCAGGTCTGCGTTCGTGGAGCAGCATTATGACGACGTCTTCAGTTCATAGCCTCACCGGTAAATTCATTGGAATTTTTGTAATGTTATTTTTTTCTTTTTGGGTTAATTTGATTACCATTTTTCATTGAATTAGGGACAATTAACGTGTTCGAATGCAGGACCATGAATAGTTAAATGATTATTGATGTCTACATAACTTCTAGTTGGAGATATGATAATGTTTAATTGTCAGCAATAATCATCTGTATGTATTTATTAACTAAAAATCTCTTGTATGGAGATGGTATGGCTTCTTTCGGAAGGGAGATCATGCAACTCCTTTTTATTTTCCTATTTTTAATATTCTCAATATTTTATAAGGAGTCAGTTTCATTAAGAAGTTTGTTCCTTTGGAAAATGACCTCTTTGCATTAGTTTATTGTGTTAGGAGCACACACCCGTATGGTGTTTTATGCGTCCCTTCTATATGATCTTTGTGGTTCACGTTTAACATACAAGAATGCCACGCTCATGCCCGTTGATAATGTTGATTAATGTAAGAAATTTGGGCTTTTCGTTCCAATGATCTTTTTTGTACTTTGGACATGCAAATTCCACAGATTGTTTGCTTAAATGGAATTCCGCACTTTTCCAAAGAGTAAACACTTGGAGACGCGTTCTTATCCCAGGCTCTACAAGTTCTATTGTACAAGTGCTTGTTGTAAGTCAAAGGATATGATAGGTTGTTTCTTGCGGTGTTGTACCCTGAGCTAGAGGTGCACTGAATTTGACTCGTTGAAGCACTGGAGCTTCTCTATCTTACATGGATGCTTTCCGATATATTATTCTAAATTGCAAGAGATGTTTTACTCTGGAGCAGCGAACTTATGATGCACAGGGTGTAACAATTGTGTTATAACTGTTCTTACATGAATGAGTAACTGGACATGTTCTTAGGATTTGATAAAGCAAATATAATGCTGCGGGCAATCATGCTTTCGATGGGAGGGTTTTCCATTTGGTTGTCTGGGAAAAAATACTGATGCAATTCGTTGGATCAGATTTATGAATCCAAAGTTCTGGATAGATTGCTCGACATCATTTTTTTAGGTTGCTTGTTCAACTGTCAACAGACAGAGAGTACTGGCTCAAAGCCGGGAACAGAAAACTGGGAGTAAAAATAATAAATTTACAGTGGCATCTGGATAACTATAGAAATAGATCTGCTCACCACAAATAGGTTTGAGACTGATGTTAATCTACGGTTATAGACTCAGATTTTTGTAGATGGGGAGGAAAAAATTTTATGAAATCGATAGTGTTTTTGGAGTACAATATTCAATGTAATAATGTTATATCTTATGAATCATTTATTGTATCTTGATCTGATGCTAAGAGAACTGCCTCATTTATGATTAGCATCAGTTTATTGATTAGAGAACTAAAGATGCAATGGTTCCAATTGCAAGGATATGCAAGGATGGGTGTTTTTCTTTTAGTACTACTTGCAAACTGAACTGCACTGTGCAAACAAAATGGGACAAATATTAAATCTATAAATGGCTCAAAATTGGGTTTGGCGAAGTAGTTTTGTTTTACTATCATATTTTATAAAGAAATTTAATGTCTTCCCTTCATGTTTAGAAGAAAATTTTATTGATTTGCTTCTGATAATTTAGTTATGTAGGTGATTTTCTGAAAGTTCTTTTATGGCGTTTATGTTGTTATCTGACATTGGATTTTCATTGTTTATCTATTGTCCTCTTATGATCTACTGGTTAGTTCTATACCTAAAAGCTAAATGTTTAAATTATTAATAGAATAATGATTTTCAGATAGTGAGGTTGATGAGCAACAAAAACATTCTGACCTGCAAATCCAGTCATCTTTGGATACTGGGATCACTCATCCTGGCATTACATCACAGAATATGCATTATGCGTCACCTGCACTTGGAGTTGGAAATGCCATGGTAATCTTTCAATTGGCAAATTATTTTTATATTATTGCAATATTGCAACACCTAGCTACTCTGCTGCAGTTTCAAAAGCTTCAGGGTCTGATTTGATACACAAAATCATCTGTTTTTGGATCTTTCTCTGAAGTAATATATGCCTCTGTCATTTTTTCTGCATAGCAAACCTAAACAATTCGTCACATGATTGTTGTTTAGTCAACAATAATTTAGTTCTAAAGAACATGGAGCTGCTCACTGCCCCTTAAAAATTATCGTTCTACAACAGGAAAGAAATAAAGAAACAAAAAACAGTAATGTTTGGTGAAGTAATTTATGTGCAACAGTAAATGGTATGAATTTGTCCTCAAAAGATTCCACGTTCAGCTGTGACATTATTTTTCCTCTCAGTCCTATTTATCTGATCTTCTGACTCTGAAGTGCTGATGTTTTTGACATACATGTAACTATTAATGATCACTTGTTCTCATTCTTCATCACTCTTAACTGAAATATAATATGTTGCAGGCACAAACAGCTTATCCGTATCCAGATCCTTACTACCGAAGTATCTTTTCTCCCTATGACACGCCGCCTTATCCTTCTCAACCTTATCCATCCCAACCAATGGTAATCCCATGTAATACGCTCATCTTAATGGAATTTTCCCGTCGATTTGAACTTCAACTTTTTCTCCCTTTAGGTCCACCTTCAGTTGATGGGAATTCAGCAAGCCGGTGTTCCTTTGCCCTCGGATGCTGTTGAGGAACCTGTCTTTGTCAATGCAAAACAATACCATGGCATAATGCGACGTCGGCAATCCCGCGCAAAAGCTGAGTTGGAGAGTAAAGCTGCCAAGTCTCGGAAGGTATTGCATGGCGTTGTTTACTTGTATTCTAGACTAATTTATAATTTGACTTCATTGTTGCCAGACATTGTTAATTTATCAGTGTCTTTGATTCCTATGCTACCATTTTCTTTTTCTTTTTACATACCATAACTCATGAGGTGTGTGAAGTTTAGGTAATTAGATCCTCGTGTTTTACACTTGAAGAAACTTGAGGGATCCAGAAAATATTCTCCATAGCACCTAGGCAAAAGTTAAGATGCACTGTTAAGATTCTTGATGTCTTTGATAATATATACACGCACACATACATATACACACCATAACTTTACAGCTTACCAATACCATCCAACTGATTTTGCAGCCCTACTTGCACGAATCTCGACATTTGCACGCATTGAGAAGAGCTCGGGGAATGGGGGGTCGTTTTCAGAAGAAAAATGAGAACCAGCAGAAAGAGGTTCAATCAGGGGATCAATCGCAGGCCAACATCAATCTGAACTTGGAAAAAAATGCTCCCACTTCCTCAGAAAGTGCCTAGTGAAGATTTGATTCAACGCTGGTGGTTGTAATTTAGCTTTGTATGTACAAATTCAGTGATAGGTTCATTTTAGAGAGTTGAATTGCAGCAGGTTGTGAATTTCCGATATGCAGTAGCAGTTTTCTTCTCAAGGGTTTAAGTTATGCACTCTCCCATACATAATGATGATCGAGTCGCTGTTTCCTTTAGTAATTTATAAATTTGGCCGTTTGAGAGTTCCCCTAGAAATTTAGATAGAATTTCTGATTATATTCAGTTTGCCCAAGAAAACTAAAATAAGGTGATGTGAGGCATAATGGTTTCTACTAGATTATGTATTGAATGAGGTTGATGCTTGAGCTGAAATTAAATTTAAGTGCTAGAGTGAATCATCAATTTTTCGTTCTATTGGGCTGCATAAAGAGGGCATTTTTTTTTCTTCGGAAAATTTCGTATTTGCATCATTATGAAATAAAAATTCAGATAATAATATATCACGTTATAAATTTTAAAAAAAAATACTAACATGAATGGTGAATAATTTAAAAATTACTCCATACCAAAATTAGATTCCAAACAAAAATGTAACTAACGTTTTTCAAATCATCCTCACTTTTAGCTTCTCAGTGGTGAGGTAGTGCATTTGGATGCCGTTGCTATAGTGGCTCTAATTTTTAATCTATGTAGCGATGGTTTTACAGTGATTTTGGAGTGGATCTTTTTGGCAATAGTGGTGGTAGTGAGTTTGTGGTGGCGGCTAGCATAGGGTAGGATGGAAAGAAGAGTGTAATCAATTATTTGGTTGATTGTAACCAACAATTAGTTAATTTATGAACAATAAGTAATATGTGATCCATGAAATATATAATTTGTGACCAGTAAATAATATGTGATAAAAAAATGTGAAATTTCGAGTAAATTTGTAATCGTGACTCAAAATTTGTTAAGTAACGACTAATTAATTTAATAATTTGTGATCGAGAAATAATTGTGACCAATTTGATAATTCGCGACCGTGAAATAAGTTGTGACTTTTAAAAATTGCAATTTGAGATCAAAAAATAAAACGTGATCTATTAATTTTATAATATATGATCGTTAAATAAGTTGTGGTTTATAAATTTTTTAATTTGTGATTGTGACGTCTATAATTGTAACTAGTACGTTAACGGTGATCATAAATTTTATAATATTGTGGTCTTATTATATTTATCTAATTAATTAATATAATTTAATTAAGACTTGATTTTTGAAATAATGAAATTAATTTCTTAATTTCGAAATTGTATTTTATAATCAACTTATATATGTAATCTTGCCCCAAAAATATAAGTCCATATTTTACAATTATTACTTAAAAAATATTTTTTTCTGCATACTAATTTTCTACAATACATTTACATAATAAAATATTTTACACGTAAATCTAAATATTTTCCCGACTTTTTAATCATGCATTTTTTCTAAAAATCATTATTCAAAATATTTTTTCGGCCAAATATGATCATCAAATAAGGCTAAACACTACACTTATAAGGAACATGGGTCGGCCAAATTTGACTCAGTTCTGCTTACCATATGCCAAGCTGAAAACCAAGTTAGGCTATACTTCGGGCTCCTTTAATTCGAGCGGGAGCTATCTCTGGGCTGAGCTCTCACATGCTCATTGCCACCTCTGCTCTACGCAACAAAATGGATCAATCGGAAGATGAATCCGTAAGAACAGCGTCAGAAGATATTTGCCTTACGCCCTTTGTATAGAAATGATTGTGTTACGCCTCTATTTGAACCACTTTGAAAAGTCCACCGTCACATCATGCGAGGTGTGAAACACTCATCCGAAGTAGTTCCGAAGCGACTTCACCAATGGTGACAATCTGCTACAACACCACGAGGCATAGGCAATCTTGCGGAACTGACCAAAGCGCCCTCGCACCTTCATCCGAGGCGAAATGCACTACGGGGACCTCGATCAGAGGATCCTCCCCCAATTTCAGAATGAAATTTTTATCAAGATCTTTTCTGCCCCTAAGGTTTAAAGTGATTTGACGTCTCCATGAGTTTATTTGATGTGACATATCAATTTTACGTCAACTCAATTCGGGAGAAATAATTATCCGCAGGCTCTATAGACGCGGCTGATTGACACATATGAGCAGATGCCTCATATCGTCCAGGTGTATACACGTATCCCACATCAAACAGTTCTTCTCACCTATAAATACCCAAAGCTTGGCAAGAGGCAAAGGTAATGAAATTCTTACTCCTTAGCACTCCATAGCAAGCAAATATATATATTCTCCTCCCCACCATTTTGCATAACCTTGATACTGTTTTGATCACCTGAGCCTAACTTGATCGTGGGAGTGTATATAGCCGCCGCCACTCCCGAGGGTTCCGACCGTGTGCATCTGACCGTGCGTTGATTGTGCGCAGGGAGATACGTGGAGTGGCTATTGATTGGCCACGTGGAAGGTTCAATTTTCGAGGTCAACAGATTGTACAAAAGTTTACTAGATTATTCACATGGTGGACCCCATGTAATTTCTACTAAAAGGGAAAATTTTGTAAATAAGAACTTAAGTATCACATATTTCAAAATTAAGAAAATAAGTTTCAAATTTCAAAAATCAGATTTTTATTAAAATTTATTTATGATTTAATTAGTTAATTAATTATTTTATTAATTAAATATATTTAGGTCACAGATATATATACAATTTGGTCACAATTAACAATTTAATTAGTTATTTATTACTTTTTCATCACAAATCAAAAAATTTATGTCATAAATTTTTTTACGATCACAATTCACAAATTTTTTAGGTCACAGTTTGTTCGTTGGTCACGAATCAAAAAAATAATTAATTAATTTTTAGTCACAACTTCTTTTTTAATCATAAATCAGAATTTTTAATGTCACAAATTATTTTACAGTCACAATCCAAAACTTTTGTAGGTCACAATTTGTTCGTCGATCACAGATAAAAAATTAATACATCACAATTTATTTATAGGTCACAAATTACAAATATTATAGATCACAACTTATCAAACAATCACAAATTATCTTTTATATTGGTCACGGATTAACTAATTAAATGATCACATTCAACTAATGAATCTATGACCACAACCAAACAACGACTGCCTCTCCACTATAGCACCGGCAAAACCATAACACCACCACTGCTCACACTACACACCGCCATCTCCTTTATCACAATCTACACAACACCATAGCCACTACCCCTAGGTACCTACCAAAAATCCATAGAATAGCCTCCACCATCGCACATTAATGCCGCCTACACATACAGCAAAAACACCAAGTGGTGCTGTATTCTCAATGCAAAAGCCAGGCAAATAATGTCCAGATCTTAGGCAGCCCATCACAGCACCGCACCGACAGCATCGTTTGAGCTTAGTGCCGGTAGCATCGTGTACTGTAATCTCAACTCAGAAGCCAATCAAATGGCATCCAAATCTCAGGCGAATGGTGTCCACCACCTGTACCACCAACCATCGTCACCACCACCGCACTGTCAACATCACCACCATCTCCATTACACCACAACCACTACACCCACGAAAATTTCCCCAAACCAATTGCGTCTGCTACCACTGCCTCCACTGGTTTAAAACCAGATCTAAGAAATGAGGAAGGATACACATGACGAGAGGAAGGCATCATCGTACGAGAAGAAGGAAGTGGGAACGTTGAGGCGAGAGGGACTGAGTGATCTTCAGCGACAAGGTTTTTGGCACAGAGAGAGAGAGAGAGAGAGCCGAGGGAATTGAGAGAGAGAGACAGAGAGAGTGATGGAATTGATATAATTAGGGTTTGAAATTGCTTAATTAATTTTTAAATATATAAATTAATTTAACAAATTTTTGATTTGTGAAATACTAAACATAGCATCTTATTTATGAAATGAGGATTTTTAATCTATTAGAATCTGTAATTTTCACTAAAATAATGCCAAAAAATCACCCACCCACTCACCCCATATTGTGTGTTGTTTGACCAAGTTCTGTGAAATATTTTTCTATACAAGTAGCTATGCTCAAGATATTTCTAGAAGTTTCCAAACCCTAGTTGATTCCCTGGATTTGGATTCTGTCAAGCAATCCCAACACCACATGTATGTATATACACATACACACATGTTCTATGCACATATGACGTGTGTATGTTGGGAAAATTTTAATTTATTATGTGGACCTATATATATGTAATTAAGCCCCCCTTTGGTCACATTAAATTTCATTTCATTTTTCTCTATCATATTTTTAACGGCATAATCTTACATAAAATAATATTACACGTAAATCGAAAATTTTTCCTTCTTTTTCAACAACTCATTTTTCAAAAAAATATTATTTCACTCATTTTCATTTCAAAAAATAGGGGCTAAATTGGGGCTAATTGTATATAAGGCTATCTCAAAGTTAAGCCTAAAATTAAAGTGATCTAATAAAAAATTAAGTTGTTGGGTTTAGGACATCAAAAGGAATGCATTGACTTTAAAGATATTTTCTCTCTGATTTCCACGCAAGAATCTTTTGGACTATTATGGTATTTGTGACACATTTTGATCTTGAGTTACATCAATGATTTACAAATTAAATAAATTCATCTATGGACTCAAGTAGATTTCCCGACAATTGTATCATATATTTCATCAAATAATTATCTCTTTTGGTTTTCAGATAAATATAGTTGATGATAGTGTATACCATAAGTTCAGTAGGAGTAATCATATTTTTCAGATATTGTATATTAATGACATACTACTTGCCTGCAATGATATAGATTTATTGCACAAAACAAAGAGATTTATATCATGAAAATTTGAAATGAAAGACCTTGATGACGCCTCTTTTGTGTCAGAGATACAGAAATGCTGGAATTGTTCTCAAGGCTTATTTGAATTATCACAGAAGAGCTATATTGATAAAGTTCTTAAAGGATTTGTGATGCATGTAAATAAACAAGGTGATACCCTTATTACCAAGGGAGAAAAGTTTAGTCTCAATTAATGCCTAAGGATAAACTTAAAGAAAATAAAATATAGAAAATTTTACGTGCTTCAACAGTTGAGAGTTTAATGTATGCTAAGGTTTGCATATATCTGGATATGATATTCATTGTTTGAATGTTAGCCAAATATTTTAGTAACTTTGGGAAAGATATTTGGAAAGTAGCCAATTATGTTAGTATTTATAGAGAACTAAGGATTACATGATTATATTTATAAAAATCAGAGCAATTGGAGATCGTCGAATTTTTTATTTTTGTCATGGAATATGATTGCAAAATTGGTCACTACATATTTTGGATAAATTTGGAAAACCACTTTAGTTATTTTTGACAATAGCAATCTTGTGTTTTAATAAGAGCTTGATGATTTTAAGGTTTATAGATATTAAGTTTTTTCTAGTTGTCAAGGAAAAAATTCAGAATGTTTAGATTTCTATGGAATATATTATGACACACTCTATAATTGCAAATTTGCTTACTAAGGGACAATTACCTAAGGCTTTTTATGAGCATATTGTTCATATGAGTGTTGCATCTTTTGATGATATACCAGTTTAGTGGGAGTTTGAATTCTGATATCTGTTTTAGACACATAATGTTATCCATGAATATTTGATTTATTTTAGAAATAAAGTATTAGTTCAATTCCACTCTCATTAAAATATATTATTGTTTTCATTAAAGAATAATGTATGATCATTGGAAATAGGCATGTTCAGATCATATCGTACGTAATTTTCATTTTATATATCCACACTTAATCCATGCCATTTGATTGTATTGATATATACCATTGAGTATTTAGTTATGATATTTGTAACGAAAATTGCTTTGATCGTATATTGACATAATTGGTGGACGAGATTGATCGGAGATGCTTTTGGTTATGATAGTAAAAGTTTTGACATCATAAGGTTATACACATTGACCAAGTAACATATGTGGCTTAAGTGGGAAATTATTAGGAAAATTTTAATTTGTCATGTAGGCGTATTATGTAATTAATTGTGTATAAGTCTATTTCAAAATTAAGTCTAAAATTAAAGTGATCTAATAAAGAATTAAATTTTGGACTTAGAACATCTAAATAAAATGTGGGCCAAATTATACGTGCAGAGACTAGATTCTCTTAAAAATTGTATTTCATGATAGACGAAATACTTATGGATATATATAATGTTATGGTCTCCAATTTATATGCAACTTCTCATTTTTTGTGTCATCTCATCAACTATAAGATAAATCATATTGAAGAGAAAGATTCGGTACCAACAATCAAGAATCAAGAAAAAAGAATTCAAAAATTAAAGCTATGGACCAAAAAGCAAAACCAATAACAAGAATTAAATAATCAAAGAAAGCAAAAGTCAAGGTTAGAAGAAACTTTCCAACATGGATGATAGAGGAAACAAAGCCATCAATGCTCTTGGGAAATTTGCAAGAGCTGCACCCGATGAACCTCTCATCAAAAGTGAAGAAACCAAAAATGAAAAGATTGCAGTTCAAATTTCAAGATTCAAGATTCGGAATCAAAATCCAATAATAAAGAATCATTCTAAAAAAATTAAGGTATGTTCGCATTATTAATTAGATATGAAGGATATTGACAATAAAGGAATTTAGATTTTAAAGTTTTAAAGTTTAAAGTTTCTGAAAGTATCAACAGTGTATACTATAGATTCCTAATTGATTTACGTTTCCAATTCTCCCAAAAAAAATAAAAAAAAAATAAAGAAATAGAGATTGGGAAGGCTGCAGGATAGTAATGCAGTTTTATCCCTCTTTAATAATAATTTAGCGAATTGCTTTATAAAAGTTTCTGCGGATTTCTCCAGGAATACCTGTGTACTGCAATCAATGAAATCGGACCTTGACTACATCTTTCTGAAGCTGAGGTATGCAACTATGAAAGTACTCTAATTTTTTTTATTTCTTTGTTTCTTTTTTATGTGGTCCATCAAAAGAAACAACCTTGTTATGGAATCCAATCATGAGAATTCAGGTAAAATGTAGTTTCTTTGTAACATTATGTTGGCATTGACTTGCTTTGAATCCCCCGCACAACATATGAACGAGAAGATTTAATTCCATATAAAATCTTTGAAATTTTTGGGTACGATGACTGGATGAAGCTTTAAAACTTTCACGGGATTCGCAGCAATGTAATTAATTTAATCGCAAAATATGTTGAAGTTGAAACTTTCAATTAGTATGCGTCCTCATAGATTCTTGAGCTACACTACTTAAATCAGGACAGTTTTGGCTTGATGGAAGCCGAAATGGTCTCACTGGAGGTATGCGTAGTAGTTGGTTGGGTCTGTGACCGTCTTAGTTTGTTCATTGATCTGACAAGCCTTAGATATAATAGGCTTTTTATCTTGCAAACTTGATTTTCATTCAGTTTAAAGCCTAATATGTGTGACAATCTTCATTGACAAGGGATATTCCGTGGCTTTTCTCATGGCAAATGCAATTATGACTTGCCAGATAAGAGTTATTCATACAAATATATGGATAGAAATTTTAGCATTATGTGCCCCGGAACATAACTCAATGGTACAAAGAAAAGGAGTGAGGTAGTCTCAACCTTGTTGGTAGTCGCAGTGCGAGGGTTCGATCCCTGAAATATGGAATTAGACTATTTGTAAGCACCAGTGTACGGGCAAGCTCTTGTTACCTGGCCTGTTGGAGCACATCGCCCCGATTTACATCCCTCACGATGCTCCAAGGATGAGGCGGTGGAGGTCCTCAAGGTTGGGGTTCTACATTTTTACAAATTTTAGCATTATGTCATAAGCTAGGAAGGAAGAAAATCAATCGACTGAAACATGATTTAGAGATAACAATCATTTAAGAAGTTGAACGGTCTGTTGTGTCAATCCTTTAACCGGTATGTTCTTGTCTCTTGCTGTATTATCATACTTCTGGTAAAACGAATTTTGTATTTTCCCTCAACTTATTTGTCACCAGATTTCTAATTAAACTTTCATTTTGGTGATTAAAAATGTGGTGTTTGTTATGAATTGTCAGAACATTAAGGCAAAGATCTTATCGACCTATCCAGATGCTTTTCCAGATTATTCTACCGTAGAAGCACTCGATCGAAGACCAGACCTTGAACTGCCTCAGTGACTCCGGCGCTGCACATATCTCAGATTTTTTTAATTATTTTTTTCCTTTTATTCGATTAATCTCTATCAATGGAGATAGGGCTTTGTGAACTTCTGAACTATTTTCCTTGTGCTTCAGTAGTTTATAAGAATGTGATCGCGTAAACTGAGATATTTTTCTAGTTATTCATATTTGATTCTACTGGTTTTCACTGTTGAGTAAAATTTTGCAAGTGTCGCGGACTTTATGAATTGAACGAAAGGAAGAAAGAAGCAATTCAGATGCAAGTCCGTTTCAAAATTGAGTGAGCCGCAGCATATAGTATGACAACGAACTATTTCATAAAAATATAATAATAATGATAATAATAATAAATAAATTATGTCACACTAGTAGTACGAATGAAATGAGTACAGAAATGGAACGTGTCTACGTGCCTGCGAGAGAGAGAAAATGTAAATTACATTTATTTATTCTATTTTACACCATCTACCACGTTATTTTTCTGGTTGACAAATTAATTGTCAGAGTAAGCAAATTAAAGAAAATAGATTTTTTGGACACTATTGCGCAGAACATCCGTGTGAAACTAAAAGCCACTTGGACAAGGAAAAGGATAACTAAAAGATATAGACATAAACAAGGTCGAGTAAGTTTGGATTCACCTGGTAAAATGCTAAGCAGCAAAAAAAAATAAAAAGATCCTACAGAATCACCTGTACTTGAGCTTCAAGTGGGAAGACGAAGTATACCAGTCAACAAGCATCAGCATACACAGTGTTAATCCTCCCACCAAACTAACGGCAAGTGTTAAGTCTGGACATAAGAATTTACGTTATTCTCCACGTTGATTCTTCTCTTCGGATTCAGCAACAGTGCCAGAAGAGCCTTTTGTCCTAGCAACAGAATCCACATTTCTAGTGCTGCTCAAAATCCCTTCTCCTGCTTCTGTAGGTTGAGAAATGTTGGCACCCAAGTCAATGTTTACTAAATTGGGTGGTCCTCCTCCAGCATCACTCCTGCAATTCTCCACGGATGCAGTAACAGAGGATGGGGAAGCATCTGCTTTATCTAAGCCAACATCATCAGGCTGAACATCAGATTCCGCATGATGCTCACATTCTGGTAAATTTGGAGGTGAAGTCAAAGTTGGATTGCACAATTCAACTAAATCAGAATTTTCCCTCCATTCAACCCATTCAGTCGGCTTCTCACTAACCCTTGTTTCTGTTTCTCTCAAGTCCTCGGACAGATTGTTCGGTGCCGGATTGACTAAACTAAGTGTTAGTTCAGGCTGTTCAGAAGTTGCAGTGTCTGCCAAATCTTCATCTTCATCAATAGTGACTTCATCACCAGCTCCTCCATTGACAACCTCATGCCCCTCAATGTTGGACGAAGGGGAAGGAACTGAATCAGTTGGAAGCTCATTATCGATTCTTTCATCCTCAAATGCAAACCAGTTGGAATTTGTCAAAAGTGACCCACTGCAAACATGAAGAGAAGTGAGTGTAAAGCAACTAGAAAATAATAAGCTAAAATGCTAAGTCAAAGCACTCAAGATGAGCCCAAATCCATGGGTTATCTATGTAGTTTGAGTCTGATTGACAGTGTCCACATCAAAGAAATATTAGAACAACTGATTTATAAGTTAGTGGATCTTTGAGAGCCGCAGCTTAATTAGGATAACAATAGCTACAAAATACACAATATTTTCAGCTAAGAAAATTTACTATAATCTTTGGAATTCGTTATTAACACAAAAACCAAAAACTTGTAGCTTTTCGACGTTTGCCAAATCGACCAATAAACTTAGTCAACTTCAAAAGGCAACAGTACAGGCAGCCAACTTGGAACAGATTACGGACACAATCAAGGAAATTAGTTCTATAGGGCTCAGAGCCCAGTGCAAATTCATGCAACTTTCATTTTCATTCTGAGACAAATATAGAAGAAAACCAGAAATCAAACGAGTGTATCCTCCTACCTATCCTGGTCATCTACCAAATGAAGGGAAGAAATGACTTCTTCAGCAGATTCATCATCAAAGTACACATCCTGTAAAGATGTCATATTAGGAACTATGTGAAAGTTGTTTAACCCAAACGAGAGCCTTATAGAACAGAAGACAAAAAACAACATGAAGTAATTGACATCAACTCGTTGCTTTTTCCTTTGTACCAGTATAAACAGTAAAGTATCCATGTGTAATTGGCTGGCATGTTTTGGTTTCTTTTCTCTCACCATCCACTTCATTAATAGAAACACTGTTATGCTCTTCTTAATTATCTAAGATTTTAAATTTTATAACTCATTCATAGCATATAATGGATACATAATTCATGCTTGAAAATAGCAGGAATCGATATGCAACTACAGTATCTATAAGAACCCCAAGGAGAAAAGAGAATTACTAACATAATATTATAGATCTCAGAAAAGGCAAAAACCGTTTGTAAAAGCCTAACACGTAGGATTCCATACATAAAGTTTCAAGAGTAATAAAATTGGAAAACCAAGATGTTTCATTCTCAGTTTTCAATACCCACACATCATATAAGTTAAAACTTCTTTCACTTGATTCCTACATTCATTAGAGACAACATCATCCATTTTTTGACTAAATAACAGGATAACACAATAAATAGTGAACCAAGGCACAAAACAGAGAGCTGCATACCTCATCATCTTGTTCAAGTGAACCACGAACCTGCAAACAGGAAACAGAGACTTGTTCAAGTGCACATTGCAATAATGCAATGACCAACAACAAATCAAATGCACAGAACACAAACTCATACCTAAATAAATGAGCCAGGTCAAATCAAGACATTTAAATTGGAATCAAGGGAGTCCATAACAATAATTCATCCCTAATACCTGAGAGTACATGTGGCTATATTATCGTCTTCAGCTCCATCAAGAGAGCATAAATCAAATGGAAATCAACTATTAATACCTAAAATACAAGCTATTGGGTGTTGGAAAGTCGTCTATTGTCTGACCAGCAGCGGAGGAAGGTGGGAAGCCAGGGATCCCACTAAAACTTGGGGGAAAAAGTTTAAATTTTTTTTACCTTTTAATTTTAATACTACTATATCTTGTGTCTGGGATCCAGGTCCTGGCTCCACCATTGTGTCTGACTTTGCTATCATCTCAAAATTTCAAACCTCATTTTACCAGTCGTTGATGCTCCGAACAAATGTTTTACGTGTGCCATAACAAATACACGCATGGATAAAATTATATATAACAAAAAGATGGAATAATTTGGATGTCACATAAAGCACCTCATCAGTGTCACCATTGTTAGAGACTCCATAACGAAAAACCTGGCTCAAGTTATTTGCTAAAGTTGCAACATCAAAATCTCTATCTTGGTAATCATCATCATCATCACTGTCTCTAGTCCGATCATGTAATGTTGTAGGCCTCCTGCAACCATGGATATAAAGAAACATGTCTATAATGAAAACAACAACTGGTAAGAAAAGTTAATAAGAGCTTTACAAAAAATTCCTGATCTGGGTAATGTTTCCTCCAACAAAAGTTAACATGGATGACATTACAAGTAAATGGATTGTGCAACTACAACTATTAGCACTGCCATCAATAATAATTAGAAATGAAATACAAAAGGCACCACTATAAGTAATGTTCACATCTTACAATCTGATAGTCCTTTCGTGATCAGAATACAATTATTTGTTTAATAGGCCTCCTGCTGCTTTTGCCATTCATCTTTCCCGATAATTTAAATGCTACTTGTTAGCATCAGAGAAGAAGAAGATAAAGGAGAATAAGTCTTATAGAAACTTTTCGGTCCCAAATATTAAAATGTCCCTTAATAGCAATAATATCCAAACAACTGGCTTAGATTTTATTTTTTTAAAATTTATTTCATTTTTTCCTTTCCCTTCTATAGGTAGAATAGCCTTCTCTTTCCTTTCACAAGTTGTATTCTACTATTATAAATAGAGTTGATTGTCGATGAATAAAATCATTCTGCCTAAATTTCAAGTGATTCTCATAGACCATCTCCATCCACCTGCCCAAGACTCATACTAACTCTTCCCAGACGAAATGACGAGATACGTAGTGTTGTATATTAAGACAAGCACTAGCCTGTATGAAATCTGATTAAAGATTGGAAGTTCTATCTTAGCTATGCATGGAGATATCCCCTAGCTCAACGGGGAACATAGAATACTAAAGTAAACAAGACAGAACAGAATGTAAAACACAAATTCATATATCTGTGAGCCTTTTACAACTGCGTACATGGATATGCCAGATCCTCTATATATCACATCATTCAGGATATAAAAATGGCAAATTGGCCGCTGACATTAAGGAAAAAGGTCATAAGCTGAAACTTAAAACACTCACCCACATGCCCACTGGAAAACATTTTCCACTGCATTGCGCTTCAGCAGTACATTTGAATACCAATCTGCCCATTCACTGTTTTGCTGGAAAGAGGAATCGCAAAAGAACCGTCAAAAAAAAGCATGAGATAAAATATGGCGCAAATTGTTCACATAATATTGTAAAATTGTTGTTGAAGTTATCCTTGAATTTATGAGTTCACTCAAACATCAAATACGATCATATCAGCTTAAGATATCTTAAAAGATAAATACTGAGCACTAATTAGAGCTACAAAACTCAGGAATTAAAACTATAAGCTTGTATTGACCAAAATAGAAAACAGCTAAGCACTAACTACTAGGTTCAAATGGAAATTTGTCAAAGATTCCATAAATGGGTGATTTTAAAAGTGACTTCTTTTCCTTATGGGATGGTGAGCTGGTGTGGAGGCTTCATACTAGTTAACTTGCTACGCAAACTGATAGACGTTAGCACTGATAGAGAAAATTAAAGATATGGAAAACCTGCAGAAATGTCTGTACATTGCTGTTGTTATTCCCTAATTGAATAAGCTTGTTAGCTATGCGTGTCATGTATCCAATATTCCCGATCCTGGGCGGAGTTCTACCCTCAGCAGGAACTGTTGGCTGCAAGACACATTTAACAAAAATTCTTGTATAATTCTTCACTATTGGCCGATGTTTTAGAATACCACAATATTAGAAGTTGACTGGGAACAAATAAATGTTAGTCTGAAAGTATAAGAAAAGTAGGTGCAGAAAAGGTTCAAAAATACAAATGAAGATATTAAAGAGGGTTGACAATTACCTTGTTTATATCAACATCCAATGTGAAATTCTTCTCTGCTTCAAGAATCTTCCCAAGAAGATTACAATCTTCAAGAACATGTTCAATGAACTGAACGTTTTTGCTTTCTAAGCAAGATACTATAATGTTCTCAACATGGTGGTGTAAGAAGTTATTGTATGGATACCTAAAAGTCAACATAAGGTGAAATTGCAGTATTCAGAGTTCTTTTCCACAGAAATTACAAGCTGGAGTTGAGCACGAAACTTACTCAAAAAATAATTCTATAATGTGTTTTACAGCGCCAAGGCGAATCAATTCTTTTTCTGCAGCTTCACTACTAACAGTCACCAAGACTGATATGAACTCTATAATCTGAAAATCCAACATGCACATTCAAATCTGAGTGTTCCATGCTATTGATCAATTCTTTCATAAACACAAAATATTGGGGCATGGGTGTGGGTTTGGAGGTGAAAAGAGACTGAATATGGAAAAAAAATCCCATTAAACACAAAAAGATGATTAAAGCAAACTGATAGCTATTTTTTTTTTTTATAAAGAACACCTTAGCAACAAATTGTAACCAGCATACATGAATTGAATTATTAGGGAACTCCTAATTTTCAGGGAAAAAACGCGATTATATACATGGTCAATATAAAATTACATCCACATCAACAAAGACATTCTAGTTCCTCAATAAAATATTAAAAAGAAACCTTCAAACGATGCTTTCCAAGAGGAGGCTGCAACTTCCCATATGTAGTTAGCAAAACCCGATCTTCAGATGAAAGTTCCAAAAGCTTGAGTATATCACCTGCAAAATGAAGGCAGGAGCAAGATTTTGTCATGCATCACTATCACCACCTCATTAACCAATGAAAATACATCAAATAATACTTATATCTAATTTATCCTCATAAATGAAGACAAAAAAATCTAGAAAACAAGACTGCTAGACCAAGAGTTTCAAGTCTGTGTTGGGTCTTTCTATTACATTATGACAAAAACAGGCAAACGAAGAAACAAGCTAGCATCCTCCTTGAAAAACAGGGACTTGGATAGTCTGATCAGCTTTTTGAGAAAGCGTCATAAGGGAAATATATCAATCCTGATGCAGAAGTAAGTGCAATGTCCATTTCTTTCTTCTTCAAACTATTTATACTGTTGTTGAGATATTTTTCACGCATATTTGGTCAAAACACCATCTTCAGTAAGGATGGCAATGGGGCAAGATCCCCTCTTAAGGGAGGGTGGGAAGGGGCAGGGCAATCTCCCGCCCCTAATTTAGAAATTGAGCCAATGGGCTTGGGTAATCGGGTTTCGACATAAAAATTGGGCAAAAGTGATCTATAAACAAGATTTGAATTTCTTTTTTAAATAACTAGATAATCTAGGCTGAGCAAGGATTTCCCATCCCCGTCACGCAACCACACTGCTCCTTCAGGGCGAGGCACCATGGGGCTCTGGTTTTTCAATTCAATTGCCATCCCCAATCTTCAGCCCATTTTCTATGAAACCAGAAATTGCTAGTAATGAGGTTAACCAACAGAAAACAGGAGATTTGCCGAATTACTTGATTAGGATTGTATGAAGAAGCGTGTTCCACAAATTTCAGGCTGAAATCAGTTCTTATATTACTTATTAAGCAGCAGGAGTATTTTATATACAAGTTCTTATATGTTCTACAATTTAATGATCTTCACACATCATTCCAAGCAACATTACCTAGGCTCTCCAACATGCATTCAACTGTCTCAGGTTTTACACTGATTCCAGATCCATGAGTCATTTGGCGGTTGTACAAATAATATGTTCCTGACATTAGTCTCTTGGGGTCCAACAAGGATATGCAGACAGACAACAAGTTAATCAAAACGGATTTTGGTCGTGACTCCTCCAAAGCATGATGGAATAATCTTCCTATAAAACTGTGACAAACCAATTTCCCATCAAGATATGAGGAGAAGAAAAGGGAGAATAAGAAGAAAGAAGAGAAAATAGTTAATCCTACCTTGGATTGGATATTTTTGAAGCTAGCCCAGGGGGAGCATATCGAGTTATGGCACATAGAGTTTCTGCAGCATTTGCATGCACCTCAGGGCAGTCCTGCAAATGCATAGATAAAGCTATTTCATTAAGATAAATCACAGTCAAAAGATATAAATGAGAGTGTATGTCAAAAAAAAAAAATGAGAGTGTACGTTCAGCTAAAATTAACTCTCTATAGGGATGAGAGACATTAAATTCATTAGTGGGGTTTGGTTAACTTTGAGCCTAAATAGTACTTATATTTTATCTTCAAATGAATAATCTCGGGCACTGACTTCCTAACTAGACACCATGATCAAGAAATCTGCGAACCAGTGTTTGAGCTCATTCAGAGTAGCATGGAACTTAAGAACATGAAGGAACAACATACAGTCTGATCACTGATGCATGTATATTTTGTTCCTATTGACATGAAGATCAAATGGAAACCCATCCAATTGGTGTAAACAGACTCGAATTCCATGTGTATCAAAAATAAACAAGGCAAGTTCCACAACATTCAGAAGTGAAAGCCAAAAGCACTAAAGAGAAGTAGGAAATTAAAAAATATTCATTATTATGCAAGACCATCCAATCCCCTAAGCAACTTACTGATGAGCTGAACTTATCCACAATCATCTCCAGAACATTCATATCTTCCAACCATGAAATTGAGTCCATATAGTCAGTATATATGTTCTCATCAGCACCAATTAAACGAATTAAAACCTGCTCAGCAGGAAACACGAGGATTTCAGACATCGTGAAGAAAAAATTTGACAACTAACCTCCATGATACTAACCTCCATGATAGATGTAATTCCGATGAGGTCAATAAGCTTCCTAATAACATCCTGGTGATCCTGGATGAGCATTAAATCAATACATCAGCTCGTGAAGATTTGAGTTTCAAATATTCCACAGTAAGCAGTGTCCCAAATATCCATGCTATATGAAGAGCCAGTATATGAAAATATAATTGCGTGTATTATCATATAAATCCAAAGAAACAGTAAGCAGGTCCAAGCTACAATAAAATTAGTCCCCTAATTCCTAATGAATCCATATTCTTTAGAAATAGGTTGAATTACCGAAACAAATATTACTTCCTCTGCCAACTCAGAATGAAGGCTAACCAAGACAAAGTAAAAGAATCCCTAGTTTATCTCTACTATTATATGTTTTTCTACTCACTTACACACGCGCGCGCGCGCACAAAAAAAAAAAAATGAAAGTTCCAATTCCAGGTTCCATCACTCAACTTCTTTACATCCTTTCATGTTGATGCCAATAGTAAAAAATTGAATAATTATTTAAGGAAATTTAAATTTTTCAAAGGCCCAAGGAAATAATAATATCAAGAATTTATGCACAAAGAACAACCAAAAGCACATCTAACTATGTATAGGAGTCTCCAACTCATAGGTATCCACCGCAACCTAGAATTCTAGACAGAAAATAAGAAAAAGATAATATTACAAACATTTGGCTTACTCGCATATAATTCATTAAAGGAATCGTCTTCCGCAGCAAGAGGCAGACAACCACCTAAAATTATGGAAACCTGGTCATCAAACACCACAATAAAAAACAAACAATAATTTAAAAATTGGGGGAAGCATAGATAACTTTAAATAAATTTTATTAGAGCACCACTCTCAATCTTTGATAAGGTTGATGGGTATCACCAACTGAGCAAGCAAACGCCAAAGGGTAAAACTATCTTACTGCATTTTCCCCATTTCTTAAGTCCAGTCCCTCCTCCCTCATTTTCTTTTTAAACGAAAACAACCCCTGATATTCCGTAAGCATGGACAAAGAATTTGTGTATGGAAAGATACTGAGCAATTGAAGAGCTAGCGCACAATAAAAATATTTCTTTGCTTTCTCATACAATAATAAGCTGAAGGCACATGTATATGGAATTTTGTCCATTACACCGGTTACGGGGTGGCAAAATTCAAAGATCCCAGGTGCTTACAACAGAAGGGGTTCACAGGTATAGCGTTGAGGAAGCATGATTGTAGACATGATGGTGCATGTTGACCACAAAAGCTTTTCCGACAGACAAGTAAAGAAGCACGGACCAACCTATGGGGACCACTATCATGTTCAGCTCAAGAAAAACATTGACTTTCAGAAGTAGAGGTTAGACTAAAAAAGGTCAAGAACAAGGATGTAGTAAGAAAAAATAGTTAATACATAAAGATGGACAATAAGGATTAAGTCACATAAATTCTTCGGGCTTTCCAATCACGACAACATCAGACATTATAGCAGGCTATGCATGATCACAGATGAGAAGTCTATTTCATTGAAATTACAGTAAGGTCTTAAGAGCAAACACATTAAGGTTTTTCCTATTTACCTCTTTTTTTAAAAAAAATAATAATAATTCCAGTTTATGAATTATTACTGGTTACAAAAAATGTAACAAATTTCAAAGTTTTATGCTTTTTTTAAAATCATTCTAATCATACCTTGCTGAAGTAACCAGCCAATGAAGTACTATGAGGGTGCTCAGGATTCAAGAAAGAGAAAAGCAGGTTCATAAGCTGTCAACCCAAAGAAAAGAGCCACTCTGTCAAAGTCAGAATCAAAACTAACTTTTTGAAAAATTCTAAAAAATTTCTACCTCCTCGTCCTCTACCAAAGCTTTGAGTATTATATCAACTTCACAGGTGAAAATTTCACAAGCAATGAAACGAAACCTATATGCACAAGCAAAGAAAAAAAAAATAGTCATCAGAAGCCTTCCATTTCGAAATTATTATCATGGTTCAATATGGATCTTGTCACAGTAGAGAGTACCTAGGAAACATATATAAACTCTCTCTCTCTCTCTCTCTCACACACACACACACACACTCTTACTTAAAAGTACGCTGTTTATCAGCATCCTCTGTAGCTTCTTCCACCATGCATCGAACAAGTTGTTCAACTTGAGCTCTTTCCCGCAAGCTACAGGACAGGTAAGCAGGAAATTAGCTAGTGCGTGACGAAGTGGGGATCTTCGAATTGTCTCTCCTGAATATTTAGACGATAAAAATGGCATGGAAAGAGGACTTTTTTCCTTTATTTAAGACAGATGGGAAATAAAATAGCCACAACACTGTAAAAGGGAAATAGTGATTCAGATACTTGCAAAAGAGAATGATTATGGTAAACTATAGCAATGAATCAAGAGAAACATTTAAGAGTCCTAAAATAATTTAAACTTACGAAAAACAACTCTTAGATATTTACAAATTCTACTATGGCTCCCAAAAACAAAAGTAATCCCGGTATTTACACATTCGACAACAAAATAAGCCTTTATCATAATAAACTTTGGTAGCTATATGAAATTCCTTTCTCACCAACATATCCAAATACTGTTCACATGTAACCAACAACAAATTAAGCACATGGATTACACAGTTAGAAGCACGTTACATTTAGCTGTGTAAAACTTTTTCAACTATCTACTATTATTATGTCAATCGATATCCATCACAAAAGTGGCTCTCAACTGTAAGCATCGAAATATCTGCAGTATATGCATTCCTCATTCAAACAATTATTCAGTTCTCCTTTTTCTTCTTTTTAACTTCCTTTCCTTAACTTTTCTCATCCATGCATAAAATATAAAACATCTTGAACTTTGGATTTAGTATTCCCAGTTTCCATTTTAACGCCTCACACATTAGAATAAAATAGCAAACATCAGTTTGGCACATTTTCAACCATTCCTCCATTTCACTTGTGCGTAATAAGATTCAACTAAGTACATTTTGTTGCTTAACACTATGACTATTACAATGCTTTCCACCTCTCACAAATCATGCTAAAATCTTCAATCCACCAGTTCAATTGCATTATCCAGTCTTTTCTCATTTCCATCCATCAACAATGCATGAAAGAGTTTATCTAGAATATATTTATACGTAGCTTTTTACTCTTCTCCTGATCTTTTGTCTTGTGCTACACATATTCATCTACACCATCAACATCAATCACTACATCATTCAACCTTTCTTTAAATTCTTCCAAATGTTCTCTTTCCCTTGCATATAAATCTAAATTAAAGCCCTATATAAATGAAACCAAATCATCCATATTACCTATTCAAGAGTGTTAAAGCAGGTAAAATTGGATATAGATTTGAACTTTGGCATTATTGGATAAGGTGAACCGTGAACATTTAACATTTTGAACCCACTATCTTTTTCCGTAATGAGGACATCTTATCAAAATGCAAAAGCTGCCAAAAAAAATAATAATAATAAAAAATTAAATTAAATTAAAAGAAACATTCATTAAATTTTGAATTTGAAATTGTTACCCATTAAACAATTTGTAAGGCAGGCAATTTGTAACTTACAAATTAATAAGACGGCCATTAAGACCTTTGCACTCTTGAATTATTTCATCTTCATCCAAAAGCTCCTCCAGTGTAAAATTTTCTTTGTCTAAAATGGTCTCCACCTGCAATGGAAATGTTATTAGTGAAAAGACCAATGTTTTTTACTCAACTATTCGAAGAGGAAATGTTTGACATTATCCATCGTTTTTTACTGAACAATTTGAACAGGAAATTTCTAGACATTATGAGATATGAAATGTTAAAACATGTTGGAGAAATGACTTCACAAAAACAAAAATATGGCTGGTGCGATCATATCCCATCTCAGCATAAAGCCCAGAGCAATATGAACAATTGTGAGCATGCATACGAGAAAGTAACAACTCAGTCTTCGGGCTGCCCTAGACCCCTATCAAATGTGTTATCAAGGCACCAGAAGCCAGAAGATTATTTTCTCAGATTTAATAAACTTAATAAACAACCTTTTCCAGAAACAGTGGGTTCTAAATCTTTTATCCAGAAATGGGCTTCTAATAATAAAAGTGGAGAGTCTATACTCTATACCAAACACCCTCCCCTTAATGACAGTACCACACTACCACGTGTCATGATTTGCTCCGGTTACTATTTGATGGCTTTCTCATTCACCAATAGTTGATTGCCGCCCAACATTTAATAAATAAATACGACTGATTGAGTATCAAACCAATATATAATCGTTAAGGCAGATTATAGGAGTCAGCACAAAATAGAATTATATAAAGTCCAGTATCTTCTTCACACTCCAAGAACTACTGCACTCCCGTACTTATATACTTGCCAAATTAGACTGTACTCCAGCAAATGCAGATCACTGGGGATCATACCGGTGCCCACAAACAACATTCATTACTTGGATCCAAATTAGCACGTAAAAACAAAAGCATAACATATTCTGTAAACAAAATTAAAAGCACGTACTGGAGATGCAGTGGAGAGGCCAGCCATACGCCAAAACATAGTTAAATTTGAAGTGCGATGACACGTTTCTAGAATCAGATTCCGATCTATAAGACTCTAGCTTATCTATCCAACGCCTTGAAACAACTTGTCTCAACGATCTTGAGTCAAAACAAGCAGGGGTAGGGCCACCCCAGGTCTAGTAGGGGCAGTTGCCCCCATTGAATTTTGGTACTTGGTATTTCACTGATTACACTTGAGGGGCAGCCGGTTCTCAACCACATCAAAAATTCAAGAGAGACTGTCAAGAAAATTGCTATTGATTAAGGAATATTAAAACAACAATTTTGGAGGGGAAAATAATAAATTCCAAGGAGATAAGGCCAGACAGAATCTTAGATCGAGGTTGTTGAATTAGAGTCATTTGCAACAGTCAAATCGAGAGCGAAATCAGCATTAAAATCCCAATAGATTTAAAGCACGTTTTTACCCCAGATAAATCTGATATTACAGTTTGGTGATGAAAATGATGACTCATCCCTGTAAAAATCACAGCAACAGAAGATAAAATTGGGGCCAAGCAGGTGACGAACACATCCACCCCTTTTCCCTCCTTCACAGTATAATGTTCCCAATTTTTGTTGCAGCGAAGAGAAAACCCATAACCGCTTGGGAAAGTGCTCATGCACCATTTAAATTGTAAAGAAAATTAAAAATAACGAGCAATTATGCCTTTTATACGTTCAATTAACTCAAGGAATAAACCATTTGTACCGAGGGGTACCTAACGTTTACACCCCATCACAAACATGTAGGCTCCATGTGTTACTTAATAATTCAAATCGAGGTCCCATTCAAATGATGTGAGTAGTAGGTAAATCATTATATACGTATAGCATGGTCCTTAACTCAAAGGTTAAATTCGTCCTTTTATTTTTATATACTTTTAATTTAGGGTAAATCACAATTTTTATTTGTCCAACCACTTTATAAATGAGAAGTGCTACATGTACATAATTATTTATATAATGATGTCCATGATTACATGTGACATTGAATCCAACGTTTAATTTAAATCTTACACTTTCACATCAACAATCAGATGATTGTCACCTCATATTATGAACAACATTATGTACAATAATTATTTACATGTAAACTTTTCCTTTATAAATACACTTTAATTATAAAATATTTTTGATAAATATCCATTAAAAACAAATAAATGATATACCTCTCTCTCACACCCACACAAATGAAAAGTACACCACTCTTACCCTCTCTATTAAACACATTTATATTTTCTTTCACGACTTGAAATCCTATTGTCATCAAATTCAAGAACCCATTCTCGTTAATTGACGTTGAAATCTCTAAACAAATAATAATAATTAGTTTGTGTCTCGTGCGTTGCGTGAATTTTGTATTTATTTTAGTTTTATTAGCGTAAATTTTATAGATTGTACAAAAAGTATTTGGAAATTAGAAATGTTTGTTTGATTCTCATCTCTTGGTCAACTGTATATTTTATGTCACGATAATTTATTTTTATTCTTATAAATAAGTATAATGAATGTTGTGATTGTATATATGTCAACGATAATTTATTTTTAATTATTTATTGTATTTTTTTGTTTAATGTAGATGAAGATTTTTTTTTATCTGATAGTGCAAATAAGTTGTAAATTGAATTTCGTAAAATGCTTTTCTTTAGCAAATTTGATTCGAGAGGCTATATTTGTAGTTCAAAAATAACTGATGCAGTTGTAAATTGAAAGAGAATATCCACATACACAAATATTTAAAATAACAAACTCAGGTTTACACGTAAAATAACTTGAAGTGGCACTTACTAGATGGTCAACTCCTTGTTGGTGTAAAAATTAGAACCCTAACAGCAGGCCTATTCTTCGGGCGATACAACAATCACTCCAAAGTTGGTAGGGCAAAAGAATTTTAAAAAAAATTTAAATAAATTTTATTTGAAAGAGAAAAGAATTAAAAAGAAATTTAAATAAATTGATAAAAAAAACCAATTATTTATAAAGTAAACTTTTCAGTTTTAATTAAATAATATTTATATATTCTCCATTTAATTTTCATAACTTTATTTTATTTTTTACTTCTAAATAATTTTAAACGAATTTTTTTACTTATATAAGTAATTTTTACATATATTAGAAATATTTTTTGTTACATTTTTTTTTTTTTTACTAAAAGTGATTTTTTTTTTTTTACTTATAAAAGTGGTCAGCACGGAGTAAGGTGAGAGGTATGAAAAGTTGCGTGTTACATAGATTCACATTGTCTCTCTTACATTATATATATAATATAATAATATAAGCAAATGAGTTGATTTGAAAAGGCGTGTCATTTCGTATGAAAATGGAGAACAGAAAAGTGCCAAAAAAAAAAAATTATATAATCCTCCGTGCACGGAGATCACACTATATATAATTTTTTTAATTCTTTTCTCTTCAATTTTTTTAACCTACAAATAACTTTTTTGTTAAAATTGAAAAATTAATTTTTATTTGAAAGATAAAAGAATTAAAAAGAAAAAAATAATTGATTTTTTTAAATAAAAAAACGTATTTATTAACACATACGTTTAATCTCTATTTAACTATTTTCGATATTTATTGAGATCATTTGATGTCTCTACGATATAATTCTCAAAATGAGTTTTGAAAGAGTGTAAAACATTTATCAATTCGACTATCGTACAATTGTCGATGAATTTTTAAAGTTAACTTGTTATTGAAAATTAATAAAATAATTGATTTTTTTAAGAAAAAATGACTTATGTGTATTTTTTAATACATACGTTTAATGTCTGTTTAACTATTTTTGATATTTATTTAGATCATTCGATATCTCTACGATATAGTTCTCAAAATGAGTTTCGAGAGAATGTAAAACATTTATCGATTCGACTATCGTACAATCATCGATGAATTTTTAAAACTAGCTTGTTGTCGAAAATTTTGAAATATAATTTGAAAATACTTACTTTGACGTTCCATAACATTTGTTATGATTGACCGTTTCACGCACCGTTAACGACGTGCAATATTATGCCGCGAGTACTTCAAAACGATATTAAGAATGTAATATTTCGATTTTGTTTGATATCATGTAATGAGCCTGAAAATGAACACAAAAATATAAGTAAAAAAAAATTATTTCTCTTCGTGCACGGAGAGCCATGGTCTCCTTGAACGGAGGCCCTTCCCATTTTATTTTATTTTTCCTCCGTCTCCGTGCACGGAGAGATTTTTTTTCTGTGTAGTTCAACGTTATAATTTTTTTTTCAATTCAAAATTCTCTTTAATTATTTTCTCTTCGAATTTTTTACTTATAAGTAATATGTTGTAAAAAAATTTCTGTCTCATATTATCTCTATCTTTTTTTTTTATACATATATAAAAGTGATTTTTTTCATTAATAATCAGTATTTTTTAATAGTTCGAAATAAAATTTAATTTTCTAGTAATAATTCAATATATAAAATGATGAAAAAAACATATCACTCCGTGCATGGAGAAAATTTTTTTTGTCATGCCACATAATTTTTTGAGCAAATTGATGCATTGAGAAAATTGTTACGAAAAAAGAATAAATAGTAATAAAATAATTGATTTTTTAAGAAAAATGACTTATGCGTATTTTTTAACACATACGTTTAATGTCCGTTTAACTATTTTTGATATCTATTTAGATCATTCGATATCTCTACAAAATAGTTCTCAAAATGAGTTTCGAGAGAATGTAAAACATTTATCGATTCGACTATCATACAATTGTCGACGAATTTTTAAAGTTAGCTTATTATCGAAAATTTCAAAATAGTAATAAAATAATTGCTTTTTTTAAGAAAAAAACAACATATGCGTATTTTTTAACACATATATTTAATGTCCGTTTAACTATTTTTTTATATCTATTTAGATTATTCGATATCTCTACGATATAGTTCTCAAAATGAGTTTCGAAAGAATGCAAAACATTTATCGATTCGACTATCGTACAATCGTCGATGAATTTTTAAAATTAGCTTGTTGTCGAAAATTTCGAAATATAGTTTGAAAATACTTACTTTGACGTCTCATAACATTTACTATGATTGACCGGTTCACGCACCGTTAACGACGTGCAATACTATGTCGCGAGTACTTCAAAATGATATTAAGAATATAATATTTCGATTTCGCTTGATATCCCGTAATGAGTTTGAAAATAAACACAAAAATATAAGTAAAAAAAAAAATAATAATAATAATAATAATAATAAACTAAATTTATTTCTCTAAATTTTGTCTCCGTGCACAGAGGCTCCAACAAATTTTTTCCCCCTTCGTGCACAGAGACAGTGTCTCCATGCAAGGAGAGATGTAGTTTTAGTTATAATTTTTTTTTCAATTTATAATTCTCTTTAATTCTTTTTTTCTTCAAATTTTTTACTTACAAGTAATATGTTGTCAAAAAAAATTTCTGTTGCATATTATCTCTATCTTTTTTGTTTAATATAAAAGTGATATTTTTCTTATATCCCTACTATATATATCTATATTGGAGTTAGGAGGAATGAAAATTGCGTGTTGCAGTAAATTTGGAGGTAGTGTACAGTAAAATAAAATATATATCAAGCAAACAGCGTCGTTTTTGGCCTCCAAATTGAAAAAAAAAAAACAAAAAAAATGTTACAATAAAGATGGATCAAGACACTATTGCTTTCTACAGTGCCCTCACATTCGCATTTTTTATTTTTATTTTTCAATTTAAAATTATCTTTAATTCTTTTTTCTTCAAATTTTTTACTTACAAGTAATATGCTGTAAAAAAATTTCTGTCGCATATTATCTCTATATATATATATATATATATAAAAGTGATTTTTTTCATTAATAATAAGTATTTTTTAATAGTTTGAGATAAAATTTAATTTTTTAGTAATAATTCAATATATAAAATGATGAAAAAAACATACTCCGTGCATGGAGAAAAAAATTTTCGTCATACTACATAATTTTTTTGAGCAAAATGATGCATTGAGAAAATTGTTGCGAAAAAAGAATAAATAGTAATAAAATAATTGATTTTTTTAAGAAAAACGACATAAACGCATTTTTAACACATACGTTTAATCTCCGTTTAACTATTTTCGATATTTATTTAGATCATCTGATATCTCTACGATATAGTTCTCAAAATGAGTTTCGAGAGAACGTAAAATATTTATTGATTCGACTATCGTACAATTATCGACGAATTTTTAAAATTAGCTTGTTATCGAAAATTTCGAAATAGTAATAAAATAATTGATTTTTTAAAGAAAAACAACTTATGCGTATTTTTTAACACATAAGTTTAATGTCCGTTTAACTATTTTTGATATCCATTTAGATCATTCGATGTCTCTACGATATAGTTTTCAAAGTGAGTTTCGAAAGAATGTAAAACATTTATCGATTCGACTATCGTACAATCGTTGATGAATTTTTAAAGTTAGCTTATTATCGAAAATTTTGAAATACAGTTTGAAAATGTCTACTTTGACGTCCCATAATATTTGCTATGA